CATGGCACAAATAGAACAATTCTCGGGCTATACGGTAGTATTTTTAGATTCTCATTTTTTCGGGGTTCTCGATTTTTGGCAAAACCATGGAACACGTAACTGCGGCAAAAAACATGAAAGCTTTCGCAATTTTTGCGAATTGAAACTTGATTGCTGATAAACAATAGTTATGCAACAATACCAAGTTTAATTTGCTTTGGAAAATCAGCATTTGGAGTTTTTGGTCATTTTACATGGTAGACGTAATCAAAAAGCCGTGATTTTCCTTAAATAAATAATTATTTTAGGAATTGATAAGCGCGACCCATGTAACCTAAAATAAGTATAATGTAGCCGAAGAGTGGCTCTACATAACGGTTACTAGCGCTTTTTGAAAGTAGTAGGAGAAAATTTTTTAAAATTCAGAAAAGATTTGGCGTTACCGCTGAGCTGCTCAAAAATCTATGGCGATAACATTGCGAAGACAGGGTAGATCAGAGAACAAACATAGCTGTAAGAAAGAGGATGAAAATCTGAAATGATACCTAGACCTTCCTTGAATTGGTGTTCTGTAGGTTTCAGAGAGCGATGGAAAAAACCGACAAAACTTTCGGGACAACCTAATATGATTTTGTTTGCTCCGAGCCAAGTTGGGTGACTCAAAAGCCGCCTAACTTCCGAAAAAGTTTACCACGAAACTCAATGCGTACACCTTTTTCATAATTTTTCACACACAGTTCCAACTCCCTTTGGCAATCTACACTCAATTTCGGTATCGTATCATTTCTTCTTCGCTGTATACAAACCTTCCTTCTCTTTATATCTCGCGCCCACTTTTGGATACCCGCGTTTGCAAGGAAAGCAAAATTGTTAGTTTTGAAAAGAACGGAATTGGTAGGGCAGTGCTGCGCACTTGCGACGTTTCCGGAAGATGCTAAGGTGGATTAAAAGAGGGGTGGGAGTGTAGGGGTGGGTCGCGGGGAGGGAAGAACAAAAGTTTATATGACAATAGCAATGGGATAAGTTTTGCTTGTGCAGGGAAGTGCTGCAAGATTTTGTTGGGTTGATAGGCTTGGTTCGCAGCCCTCGAAGTTTTTGCGCTCGGTTAGTTTTTATATAAATTTCGTGTACAAGATGAGTCTTAAATAGAATTGCGTATTATAATAAATAGGTTACTTGAGAACATACCTTCGATAGTCTAGAGACAGGGCGCCAAAAGTGAAGGTTGTTTGAACATCTGACGTTACAAATGGTGAAGGTTGTTCAAAGAAGATCAGAAAAGAGAATATGACGTAAAACAGACATAAAAAGCAAAAGAAACGGCTGTAAACCGGATAAAAACGCTGCAATAAGATTTGAAATCTTTCATTTGGCGGCTTTACAGAGTGCAAGTTTTCGCTCCAGGACCAGCAATTCGCAACACGGGGTTTTGATTTTTGATGCGTCGTTTAAATTTTTACCCCCGCGCCGTCCCTCTTGTACCCTGCGACGTTGTCTGGATTCTTCCGCTCATCATTCTGAGCAAGTATCGTCCAAGCTGGAGAAAATTCGTTGCGAGACTACTGAACAAGAATAAGGTGAAGAAAAACGCATTTTTTAGTAATTTTCACAAAAAAAGCGGCATAAGCAAAGAAATAAGCTCGGCGACGTTGTCTACATTATAGACAGAAACAAGACCTATCGACTACACAAAAAAACTGCTTGAAAAGAGTCAGACTAGGAGAAAAACGAGAGATTTTCAAAAACAAGGTTTTTGCCGGATTTCTTGTTTAAATCATAAAAAGGAGTCCTGCGACGTTGTCAGCGTGAAAATAGAGATCAAGAGCTTCAAAATGATATATAGCTTGCTAAAGTTGGGTTCGAAACAGCGAAGAAAAGGGTACCAGAGCCAAATGCCCCGCGCCCCGTGCTTGGGGTAGCGAGGTAGCGCGCAGCGCGCGGAGACGCAGACGAGCAGCGGAGACAGACCAGAGCCGGCGGGGCATTTGGCTCTGGTCATTGATCTCCGCGGGGTCATAACGAAACCTTATAATATTATATATCGTTGTGATCCTCATGATACGGCCAGGAGCACTGACAACGTCGCGGGTCTTGAATCTCACTCCATAACGAGATAGACCAGCATGTATGTGGCGACTCTCTGCGCAAGATTTCAGCGCAGTTTCTCGTTTTTGTTGAACTCCAGCGGCTTTCATGAACCTCCAACGCTCAATCGCAGTCTATAGAAAGGTTAACTGATAAGTTTTATCCTAATTTCTAACTGAATTTTTGAAGAAAAACCCTCTTTTCAGCAAAAAAGGCCATGAAAACGCAATCTTTCGGATTTTTGAGCTTTTCTTTGGATGTCACTACTATATTTGCCTCATTCACATTCATCCTTACATAGTTAGTCATTACTTATGTCATAATATCCGGGGCTTCGCCCCGGACGACTTGTACTCCTCTACAGGTGAAGGTTGTGTCCTCTCATGACACTCAAAGTGAAGGTTACCAGAGTACGTGGCTCTATGTATCGAAGGTATGCTTGAGAATTATTATCGCTACCGGGACACTTTTCAGTAGTGTTAGACCTTTGCAGCTACAGCAAGAGTCACAGACATAGCGCATTGATTTGAAATTATACCAATTTCATTTCTCATTACACTCTTCACCACGGTTAATCATGAATATCAAGCGAATTTGTTACACAGTTTCACGATATGTTGTCTATAAATCCAAGATGTATACGGTGTTTCCGCATTATCATATTGCAACAGATGTAGGCCCAAAGAAACTCCCCCTCCCCTCTCCCCCATCATGAAACTCTCCCGGGACGGGACTAACAACTGAAGCCTGTTTAGTCGAAGTGGCGCGTGACTTCTTAACCATTTTAACCATTTTTTATTGACGCACGAATGAGGGCTTTGCAACACTCAATCACAAACAGAGCGTTTTGATATTTTTTAGCATGAATTGGTAGGAACAGCAAGATTGGTAAGAATATTCGAACAGTATGTGATGTTTCGGTGGTGATATCGCCAACATGGAGCAATGCTGGCCCAAACGGAAACGTACATTTACGATTGCGCTGTCTTTCTCTTTATAAAGAAGAATATTATCTTGTTCCCCCTACACCGTCCAGTTTTTTCCCACACAAGGATCTGGCGTAACCGCGAAACAGAATTTCGAACAAAATTTCCTGATTTTGCCACGCATCGAGAAAGTGACTATGCTAGTGAGTAGGCCTTTCCCCCACCAATTTTTCAAGGCTTACAGATATTTCTAATCAAAGGGATAGCGGAAATTCAAACTATAGCACAAGTTTTTCGTCATTGTACGTAAAAAAACATTTAGCTTAAAAATGTCTTCTTGCTGCTCGAAAAGGGGAAGTGGAAAACGGTAGAAATATACTAATACTAGCTGGCTTACCCGGCTCCGCCCGGCCCTGTCAAAAACGATAAAGGTTCCATTTCTATCCCTGTACACCTTTACCTGTGCCCACTTCTACATGGAATTCCCTATTCCCGCTGTGTGAGTGATCAGTATGCTCACCTACCTTCCTCACCGACACCGCAGCCCTGTAGCTCAAACTTTGCAAAAAAAACAACAATAAAACCGGTGAAAGGAAGGGTAATTCTAAAAACTGATGGCGTTATCCGGCTATCCGGGCCCTAAAATGTTTTAGTGGTGTGTTTTGCTCAAACTCGGTATATAGGGGTTGTTCAAACCGCTGATGACGAATATGGTAGTCATTTCGCATGGCAGCGGGTAAAAATCATGAACCTGCCTGAAACCTTGGCAGGGAATCACCTAGAGTGCTGTTACAAGAATATTCTGCTTAATCCCCATGATAATGGTATTCGTGTAGTATAAAAGTTTCCCACGACCGTAATGCTTTCCTTATAGGACAACTGCCGCGCGCGATACGCCCTTCGGCGGCTTTTGCCTAAGCAAAAACAGGGGGAGGGAGATTTACCGCGTGCATTACACGTTGATACAGGTTATCAGGATGGCACTGCCATCCAAAATAACCTCCCCATTTCGTGAATATTTGGAATCTGAATTCGTCCGAAGGCGAAAAAATGTCCATTCAAACCCTGCAACTCACCATAACTTCACTAATACGTTATGACAGCGAGCAAGCATCATATTCATAAGCAGGTACTTGTGAACCTTTACAGGTAAGGTTTTAAGCAAATCTGGAACTTCGACCCATCTACACCCACTGTAACCCACGAAAATGCAATATCCTGCGAAATCAGCATGGTATTCATGTTCAGCGCGCTAAATGACCACCCTAGACGAAGATTAAAGCAAATCTATGTCTTCGACCTCATCCTATAACCACCATAACTCTATGAAAAGGTCCCAATATGCAGAGAGAGTATGAAATTCGTAATTAGCATGTCGAATAAGGTTCTCTGTACCAAACTCCAGCCGAATTCATGATTTTGACTTCCTACCGTACACCTATCGTAACCACACGGGGAGGCGTTCTGCTGAGAAAGTGTGATGTCTGTAATCAGCATGAAAGATAAAGCTTATAGAGGAAATTTGAGCAAGCTTTACGACAAAAAAATTTTGGGCTCCGTATAGCCGGACAGCGCCAAATTAATATTGCACTCGTAATCAGCATGCTCGATTACCCCCCCCCCCCGTGCCAACTCCCAGCCCCGTATTTCAAACTTTGCAAAAAATCGATAAGAGCAATCGATAATTCTGAAAACTAATACTGTATTCGGAATCTCCATGCTCACTTACCCTTTATCCCAACTCCCAGCCCCGTAGGTGAACTCTGCAAAAAATCGATAAAATCGATATCGATCGATGACGAAAAGTTGCCTATGACACCCGCCGAGGCCCGAAATGTATATGTGCCAAGTTTGTTCCAGATCGGTTCGGAAATGGAATGTTCTATTCGGAATATACGTACAGAGAGACAGACAGACAAACAGACAGACAGACAGTCATTCAGCTTCGTATATAAGATTTTCAGCGCCAAATCGCTTGAGGGAGAATCACTGACGGGGCAACAACCACGCATGCATGATGATTTACTGGACAAAATAGGTTAAGGTTATCTAGCGGTATTATGGCATTGAAGAGGTTTTTAGATTTGAACTGTAAAGAGATAGTGGAAGGAAACGACGAAGTTATAAAAGAAGCCAGGAGTTGGACGTACGACACCAAGAAGATTGAAGAAGACATTCGTTTTGCGGAGAATAAGTAAGGCAATAGAATTTTGTGGCAAAAATGTAAGGCGTTGAAATTGTCCAACAGATACGCGAAAAGTGCAGACAAATTCTATTTTTTTGCATGATATCGCAGTATTTCCCTCAGCACAAAACTGCTAAAGAATTTACGCTGCATAAATGCACTATTTTCGTAGTCAGCATCCGAAACCGTTACGAGCGCAACCGATCAATAAAGATCATCAATACTCTAGCCAAAATCCTCGCAAGCTTCAGAACCGAGGATTAAAAAAATAAAAGGGCCCTTTTTTGGAAAACTTGCGCATAGAGGTTATCTAGCCTGCTGATTGCAGAAAACTCAACCTCATTGCAACTACTCAAAAAGTTGAAAGCTCTCAGCGGGCAGTTACAAAGCTGCCACCAATCCCCACTAAAAGCCCTCGCGCCGTATCGCTGTCACTGTGGATGCCCGCTGAATGCCATGTGGCTTCCGCATCACTGCCGCTTCATAGCGGCCTGCTGACTGCCAGTTAAAGCAGCCCGCTCAATACCATTCAAAGGATCCCGCCCATTGCCGCTTATTTAGCCCGCTCAATGCCATTTAAAGGAGCCCGCCCACTGCCGCTTATATTAGCCCGCTCAGTGCCGCTTACCGCACTCTCTCCTTTTTGGGATCCACTACTCCTTTTGCACTTGCACTATAAACAAGCTAGGCATCATCTTTTATTAATTAATTGCCCAAAACAGTGCGATACTTCCAGTAATTTAGTATACTGCAACAAGGCACATAACAATAACTCAACGACGAACAGATACAGAGGAAAGAAACCAACTCAAAAGGTCATTTATCGTCTGCGCCCCAGAGAGGTTCCCATAGGTACCACGTCATCTCGCTGCCTTTCGCACTTTCGAACGTGTTAGTCTCGGGCAGTTCCGTTGAAATCTCATGAGAAACGTGTCAAAAAGAGCGAAAGGCAACGTCGCACCAGGTACGCACGCTGGTTCACATGGGAACCTCTCTGGGGTGCAGACGGTAGAGTGTCTTAATACACGTACACGTAACGATACCTTAACAGCGAACAAGATAAAGATGAACGGAATGAGCTCACATTGATTGCCAACCTATACTGCAACATAACAGGATAGCAAATAACAGAGAACAATATGCAGATAAACGAAATAAAGTCAAAATGCAAGATCAAGGCATTGAGGAGAAATGAAGATGTCCATGCGGGAAGAGTTTTGAGGTATTCTGCTCCAAATAAAATAATCAGGACTAACCATTTGACATATTTTCAATGCATACCTTAATCGATTCGACAGCTTACTCAAGCGACAATGCGAGGTATGCCTGGTTTTGGTTCTGCAGTTCTCTCAATTCCATCACTCGGGCAAGCTGCATCCCTTTTAGTGTTTCGGATTTGTATAAATCAAAATCGGCTAACAACTCGTCTAACTTATTCTGGCGCTTCTTTTCGTTTTCGCCAAGCTCGATGTAGAAACTAGAAATTTGTGTTTTGATCGTGATAACCATTCTTTCAAAAAAGCTACCGTGTCATTTCATTTGACGCTGTTTTTCCAAGCCTCAACTGGGGTTCCCCTAAGCCGATCAAATCCAAAGCAAAATCTAAAGTCAGAGTCAGTGCGATGCTAATGTCTGCACAGTACTTGGTATAAACATCTACCCTGGAGGTGTCACTTCCACTGCCGCCGGTAGATTTTGCAGGTGCTTTTCTTTCCCAGCCTTACGATGATACCTTATCGCGTAATCTTGGATTTGCTGAGGAGGCTCCGTCAGCTGCAAGTTGTCCAATGATTAGATGTATTGCGCACGCAGAGAGAAGTAAAGCTGCTGAAAGATAAAGCGAAATACGCGTGCGAAGTTTTGATAACACGGTTCTGTGTCGGTGAAGCTAAAGCGCACCAGCAGTTCAGGAATTTCGACCTAAACGTCTCACTTGCGCGAGTAGTGTATAACAGCCAGCGACACTTACGCCTTTGAATGGTGCTGCTTCGTCTATTTTCCAGGTCCTTGTCAGATTATTTAGGGACAAGACACGTGATTGCCCGATTTGCGATTTGGCAATTCGCCAGAACTTCAGATGAAACACTAGCAAACTGGACATGCATGATGTGTATGACTTAAGTGGGTTGATAAAATACGCTATCTTCTGTACATTCAAATTAAGCTTTCAATGAGTTACGGACAGTTGGAATATTGCCAAATCGCGTCGCGACTGAAATCGCGTGAAGTATGCCCGGCCCCTTATGCAATAACCATCAAAAGCAAACGAAAGTTATGGTAACTCACAAAAACACGAATAAGCTTCAACCTTCAATGTCTTCAAAGTTCAAACAATTCAAACTGGAGAAAGTACGGCACCCACTGTCATGGAGAGGACATATACAGAGAAGAAGCTAACAAAAGAAATTCTCTCTAAACTACACACCACGATCTCATCAAAAGAGAATAGTGGTGCCATATTTGCTAAGCGAGATTGCTGAATGCAATAGAGAGAGAAAGAAATCTGTGGGAAAGCAAATGAGATACATATAAGAATGAAATTAAGACGGTAAGCTTGGATACTGACGGACGCACAGAAAGAATCAATGACTAATGACGCCGTGCTCTTTCTTGCAAAAAAACACGTATCTACATGTGCACAGATGAGCACTCCACAATAGGATCAATCGATACCAGCCAGATACAAGTTATCGGTGCCCGCTTATAGCATCTTCGCGACCCGCTCACAAAAACCTTGCTTTCGCAACCCCATCGCTTCCTGGTCGTTGCCAACTAGCTGTTATCGCTGCCTTATCGTCGCCTTCTGGGTGCTTTTGTAGCAATAACGCGCTCTGTAGTTATTTTCACTCACGGAAGATTATGGCAGCCCGCTGATAGCCTGTCGCTGCCTGCTCGCTACTTTTTCCGAGTTATCGCCGCCTGCCCACTGAAACTGCTTGCTATCGCTGCCCGCTGAGAGTTTCCAAATGTCTGAGTAATCGTCTTACTGTAGAGTTACGGTAAGTAAAATACAGTAAGGTAACGGTAAGCGTACATAAATTTTTCCGAATTTCACCAGCTTTTCTTTCTCTATGGAAAAAAGATCGCCTAATCTCTAATGCGTAATGTCCACGGAAGCAGTTCTGCAAAATCTTTTTCATTAGAGTCGTCCATGTTTGTTTTGCTTTGTTACACCACTGCAAAAACCCGTTAGAAAAAATCGAGCAGAGTGAAAACGGATTAATAAGACAGTGTACAGTCTGCCCCAATCCTAACCAGGCCAAAATTGGCATGGCGGGAGTCCTTGTCGTTAGATTTCGCGGTCACGCTCACGGCCTGCTTCTCTGCTCTCTCTCTTCAGTCCATTGGCTCTCTCCCACAGGCGCATTTGCAGCGCAGACCGCTACGCTGCGAACGCGCAGATTTGCGCCAACGGTTCGGCCTGATCCCGATTGGAGCAGACTATAGTAAATCAAGATTTTCGCCTTAACCTGTTAAGCCTTAAGCTTTTTTTGGATTCATATTTTATTTGGAGGAAGTTATGAAGAAAACCCGAAAAAAAACAGATTGTCAGGCGTTTTCTGTCGAAAATTAGTGTGGGTATTGTACATATGCGAATTTGTCTTCATCGTACAGTTAACCGTAACTTAACAGTCTACCACCACTACAATTAAATATTATTTCTATAACAAGCACATCGAATAAGCCATCAATGAGGAACTTCAAGCAATAGACTTTCTACCGTATGCCTATCGTACTCCCATCCAATGTATTAGAATACGCTCCGCGTCAAGCTGAGTTGAACGGTGCTCTTGAGTTCAGAATTTGTCCACTCTAAAGTGAGATATGACCACGCGACCGTAATGTCACATGAATCAGGCGACCGCCACATAACTCATGCGACCTTCCCTAACTTAAGCGACCGTCGCCCTTTACACGCGACCTCGTGTGAGTCTACTTTCAATTCGCGTCTTTTTTCAAAAAATGTGAGCAGTAATGTACACATGCAATAGTTCTTACATGCGATGGAGAAATTTGACAAATGGCTGCATTTAGATTATTTCACAAAATAATATGAGAATGAGCGCCAGATTTTAAGAGACAGAAGTCATGTAAAATGTTGGCTTCACTTATGTGCAAACTTAATATAGAACATTCAAACGAACATGCAAGACTTTGGTTGAAGAAACAATGAGCTTGAGACACTGGAAACCAAAGAAAATGTTCTAGAGAAACAAACGAGATGATAGATGTGTCTTTTTGAAGGAAAAAAGAAGTGCATCAAGCTCACCGTTTACAAGCTGCATCTCAAATTCAGCTGGCGTAATCTAACATTCGGAAAATCAGCTATTGCCTTAGAAGGTAGCCATCTTTCGGTTAATTTCCGTTAATAATTAGTTGTTGCAGTGAAAAAAAAACACATTAGTAGTAGTGATATTCGATTTTGAACCCAAAAAGCAAGGCCTGAATGCAGATGTGACAGAAAGTCCATCTTTGAAGATTTGCGCATGCAAAGTGTTTCAGGAATCTACCGCGCTGAAAGATTCACTTTTTTGAGGATATAATAAGTTTTATTGGTTTATAAGAAAGCGACTTTTTTGCAGATGTGTCGCTATAAAAGAACTTTTTGGTTTTGATAAGAAGAACACTACAATAGAGGAGCTGCAGTATCCCATCGCTTACGGTGCGATAGTCTATCAAAATTTCGTACAAGTATGCGTGCTATGGCAATAAGTACAATGCTTTGTTCAACAGACTTTTTAGGTGATGTTCATGCTTAGTGCTTTCTACCGTTCACACAACGATTACTGCATAGCTGTAAGCGGTTCAGCTAATCGTACCTTCAAGTATCTCATGAACCAGTTTGGCAAATGCTTTGATAATGTTCAAATACTGGTGAGTCTTCAGCAATTTTCTGAAATGTGCATATTCGCTGGACGATTGTTTTTACAAGAAAGAACACATCGCTTCTTTGAAAGATTTCTTATGGGTGAGCAAAACAACGAATCTAGCTTAAGAAAACCTAGAAAGTTTTTGGTTAGAATCTCGAAAGATTATCTTTGAGATGCTTACCGAATCATCTGCTTTCATAACGTGCATTCAGAAAAAGTGAAGAAAGCAGTGTTTCTGAGGGTTTTCCTTTATCAGGTTGATGTACTGCAACTATTGGTTGATTCTAAACATATCTCATGCGTCGATGCTGGTTACCTTACAAAGTCTGCTATACCAACGGCATAGCAGCATACCTCATGGTAGCACCGAGTTTCTGTCTTATCAGCTTATTGTAGACAAATGCATCTAACGAAGAGTCTCTATAAGCACTATTTGAAAAAACACATAGCAAAAGTTCGTCATTGCTTGGGTATCTGGGTCGCAAATTGAATACTCGGGAATATACCAGACTATACTACAAATAAGAGAACTGACATCGGTCGGCGACTGGCTCCATGTAAGCAACCTGTTTCACGAGTAACATGGAAGACGGCGCTAGCAGAAACCCACTGATATACTTTCGCTACATCGACGACTGTTGCATAGTAACATCGAAAAGCCGCGCGTTAAGAGGTATGCCGCGCACGCCGCGTTCCACAATCTCATATTACAGCATGCCGGCGGTAAAAAAAGGGAGGCAGATACACAACTGGATGCCATAATTAACATCGCCCCATATGCTGATATTGTTTTGAAGTACATTGCATCGGCGCTTCACGAAAAATTCGAGCCGATCATACCTCCTGATTTGTCCACATCGAAACTCTCCAAGACCATTTATTTACAAGCCTAAAAGAAGAGGAACTCAAAGGCAGCGTCCCACCAGACTGGGGGTACCTGCTCTGGTATAATGTAATAGTAGACCCCTAACTAAGCGATGACAGAACTTTGCAGCGCGAAAGGGTGCTACAAAGCCTACAAATCGCGCCCCAAGTGGCCCGAATTTTATGGTAGGCTCGAGTACGAGATGCATGCAAGGTAGAGACGCAGAGTCGTTGCGAGACTCTGCGCTCACGACTGTGTCGGCTATGCGGGCTCTGGCCTTGCAGTTCGATATCTTTGTGTGGGCGGCCTACCGTAGATCCGGGCCACTTTCGGAGCATATATCAAGCTTGGTAGACCCCTTTTTTTGCTCCGAGTTTCAGTCAGCGCTTCGGTAGGGGGGTCTACTTTAACATCGCCACATAAACCTGGTACCCATCCTTTTGTCGGATCGCTGCCTTTGAAGGCTGATTACGATTTTCGATTATGCTACTAATAACGGTGAAAAATTTGTTGAGCATCAAGGCACCCCAAAAGAGAGTAGCAAATTTTGTTCTGCGTGTAGAGTTCACACTTCTCAGTGCCGTGCTTCAAAAAGTGTACTCATACACAGCATGTTCAAAACAACAGCAGATACTTGCGGCACATGGAAAAGAAGAATTCTGAGATTGACACTAGGATAAGAACTTCTGATAGATAGCCCCCCTTTCCCCGCCTAAGGCATGAAATGGATATTAAATGTTGAAGTTGACATATGCTATTCAGTGAAGTATTGAGGGGGGGGGGGGACCCATCCCCCCCCAAGAATGGATCGCGAAATTTTTGAAAGTTACTTAAATGCGTTGTAGAAATTTGCAGAGGAATTGTTTTTACTTGTAAATTATTAAAATTTTTAAAAATTTTAAAAAATTCAAATTAGCCTTGTAAAAATTTTTTTTCGGGGCGTGGTTGCGAAAAATTTTGGGAAACATCCCAAAAAATTTTTCGGAGTGCGTGGCTGACGCCACGCACCTTCATTAGAAAAAATTTTTTGTCGGGCTTCCCCCCCCCCCCGAGTCGAAATCCTGAGTACGCCCCTGATGCTATTGATATACTCAGTGCTAGATTTCTAACTTTTAAGATTAGTACTTCGAAGAGCCTGTGGTATACACTTACTATGCAGAGACAACCTCTGATTCAAGTGGCTTGAAGGCTGGAAGGCGAGGTTTTATGACCTAAATGAAGCCTCTTGCGCCCACGACGCAGTCTGCGTCTCTCTCGCGTGCGTACCCTCTGATCATCACCTGGCCTTGATTGGGTCGCAAGGCCCTCCTTCCAGCCACCTAATCAATTGAATCAATGTGCCACTGTATTGTCAGGATGAAAACTTCCTCTCGAACTTTTATGCAATCATTCTTTTCTTGATCTTTTGGACTGAGTTCCAGTTCCTAAATCCGAAAGCTCGACGTGTTAAAACTGTTCAAATGCTTCTTGTCAAGCTTACCTTACTCTATCCAATGGTTGCTCAAAACTATCGAAAATATACGATTACTAGCTGGCTTACCCGGCTCCGCCCGGCCCTGTCAAAGCTATGATTAAGGTCTTATCCCTATCCGTGTAAAACCTTTCATTGTACCCACTTCTACATGTAATCCCCTATTCCCGCTGTGTTAGTAATTAGCATGCCCACCTACCTCCCTTAACAACCCCCAGCCCCGTAGCTCAAACGTTGCAAAAAAAGCTATAAAACCGGTGAAAGTAAGGATAATTCTGAAAACTGATGGCGCTATTCGGCTGTCCGGCCCCAAAATGTTTTTGTGATGGATCTTGCTCAAAGTCGGTACATGGGGATTATTTAAGCCGCTGATGACGAATATCGTAGTCATTTCGCGTGGCAGCGGGTAGAAATTATGAACCTGCCTGAAAGCTTGGCGAAAATTACCTAAAGTGCTGTTCTAAGAATATCGTGCTCAATCCCCACGATAAAGGCAATTCGTGTGGTATAAAAGTTTCCCAAGACCGTAATGCTTTCCCTTATAGGATCACTGCCGCGCCCGAGACATCCTTCGGCGGCTTTTGCCTAAGCAAAAACAGGGGAAGGGGGATTTGCCGCGTACGTTACGCGTTGGGACAGGTTATCAGTTTCCTTATAGGGCCACTGCCGCGCGCGATACACCCTTTGGCGGCTTTTGCTAAGCAAAAACAGGAGGAGGGAGATTTGCCGCGTGCGTTACGCGTTGGGAAAGGTTATCAGGATGGCGCTGGAGACCGCCATGCAAATCCACCGTTTCCCCCTCTAGAATACCTGGGGTCTAAATTGGCCCGAAGGCGAAAAAATGTCCATTCAAACCCTGCAACTCACCATAACTTCACTAATACGTTATGACAGCGAGCAAGCATCATATTCATAAGCAGGTACTTGTGAACCTTTACAGGTAAGGTTTTAAGCAAATCTGGAACTTCGACCCATCTACACCCACTGTAACCCAAGAAAATGCAATATCCTGCGAAATCAGCATGGTATTCATGTTCAGCGCGCTAAATGACCACCCTAGACGAAGATTAAAGCAAATCTATGTTTTCGACCTCATCCTATAACCACCATAACTCTATGAAAAGGTCCCAATATGCAGAGAGAGTATGAAATTCGTACTTAGCATGTCGAATAAGGTTCTCTGTACCAAACTCCAGCCGAATTCATGATTTTGACTTCCTACCGTACACCTATCGTAACCACACGGGGAGGCGTTCTGCGCAGAAAGTGTGATATTTGTAATCAGCATGTAAAGGGCCGAGCATACTTCCCGCGATTTCAGTCGCGACTCGATTTCAATCCGCCAGAAGTCTTCGGATCCAACATTAGCAAACTGCACATGCATAGTGTGTATAACTTACGTAAACTGATGAAATGCCCTATCCTCTGTACATTTATAATGTGCTTACAATGAGTTATGGACACCTGGAATATTGCCAAATCGCGTCGCGATCTGGCATTGCTTGAAGTATGCCCGGCCCTTAAGATAACCCTTATACAAGTTTGAGCAAGCTCTACCGCAAAAAATTTTGAAGCCCGGACAGCCGAATAGCGCCAAACTAATATCGAACTCGTAATCAGCATGCTTGGTTACCCCCTGTGCCAAATCCCAGCCCCGTAGCTCAAACTTTGCAAAAAAATCGATATCGATAAAAGTAATCGATAATCCTGAAAACTAATATTCGGAATCCCTATGCTCGACTACCCCCCTGTGCCAACTCCCAGCCCCGTAGGTGCACTCTGCAAAAAAATCGATAAAAATCGATAAAATCGATATCGATCGATGACGAAGAGTAGCCTATGACACCCGCCGGGGCCCGATGTGTATGTATGGCCAAGTTTGGTCCGGATCGGTTCAGAAATGGAATTTTCTATTCGGAACATACCTACAGACATACAGACATACAGACATACAGACATACAGACATACAGACAAACAGACATTCAGCTTTATACATAAGATGAGTTATTGCGATATGAACTATTTTGGTGTAAGACTTATAGCGAACAAAGGAAAAGTTTGATTTCTAAACTTTTTGCAAAAACTCCCTATGGAACTCAAAAATTAATGACGCTACATTTTTGTACAGACATGCTCAGCTCTCGAGAAGTTAGTAGAAATGCATTGTTATTTTTGGCTTCACTGCAAGAAGCACAAGCCTCAGAAGAGAAAACCTCATAATTTTTGCTCGTACGATTGCATATGAATGGTCGAATCCATAATTTGAGTTCGCGGCAACTAAGTGTAATATGCCACCTTTTATTGTTCCAGAAAAGTGGTAGGTAAGTGCACAGATTATATAATCGTGATATTGTAGTTATATCCTCTGCAAATGGTCAATAATATCCAATTGTTGTAGGAGCGTCCGCCCATAGGCTGGGCCTCATTTGAAATTATCAACACAGTTTGGGCATGTGTGGAGATATTATCAAAAAGCAAAACGAAGTGGATGTATTACCAAGTTTTGTGATTGACAATGACAATTAGATCTATATTAAATTCACTTACAATTTCAGCAGCTTTCTGGAGTTGATGTTCCTTTAAAAACAAACTTTGAAATGGTGGAGATCTTTAAGAGATTGAATGAAACTGTGAACATCGATTTTGAAAAGCACCCAAAATATCTTTTGAAAGGAAAAAAGGTCAGTTATCGTAAAAGATTGTTTATCGTTTTTGCTGTACCGTTGTTGCTAAAGACATACTAAATCATATTCGCTTAACAGATGAAGGAGTCTCCTCTACCCTTGATCAGGTCTTCAATGAGTGGTGCTATTCCGCGAAAAACCATTGACAGAATAGTAGAGGTAAAGTTGCTTAGCATATTTTAACGAATGCTCAAAAAAATCCTACCGAGAGAATGAGGTCAGAACTGCAGAAATGAGTTTGCTTCATTCTTACACTGACACGAGGGCAGTAATTGCCTAAAGTATCCTTTCAAAAAACACAACAGCAAATGCACGTGCGCGCTATTTCCAATCGATTTATTTGCTCAAAATTGGTGTCCTGGCGATGACTCAATCAGTACGTTGCTTGAGTGGGCTTCTTATTTACGAATTGAAAAATCTTATTGGATTGCACAAGAACGACACCCGATCAGAATATGGAGAGCGGAATGGGTTCCTGCACGAAAACACAGAAACTCAGTGAGACTATCAGCTATCAGCTCTCATTCGCTTTGGTGATGGCTTCACATTTGTGCAGAAAAGGGATAACGGCATTGACTTTCCGAAGTTTTTTCCCCGAGCTAGTTAAAGTTTGAAATAAATTTCAATAAGCAGAAGAAGTCACTTGCGCATAACTCTAAAGTGAATGTAGGCAAGGCTCGCTATGTCAGATTTTCGCGTATGCAGAATAAGATAAGCGGCTTCAAAGAGAGTATCCTATTGGCCTACCTTACTGAATACGACCTTACCAAATAGAAGTAATAGGTAGACCAGGTCACTCAATTTCTAGCGCGTTCTTGCTATGTAAAAGAACGTGTACTTGTGAAAAAATTTTGACGCAATTTTTCTATTAAAGGCAGCGTACACCCAAAATCTACTTACCGAATTTCCTAAATCTTTCTATACCGTGTATATACTGGGCCCAGAAGAAGACCAATTGCGTTGGTCCGGTCTCCCAATGTTGCTTCTGAGCGGAGAAAACCCCCCTCAATTTTTCACTCCGCCCCTTTTCTTTCACTTCGCCTCCTCCAGACGAATCCCGACAGCGTAAGCTTCAGTTGCCCTGCAGTTGCTGTTGCAATCCTGCTGCATCTGCAACTGCAATTGCAACAGTGCAGTTGCTTTTTGCGTGCGCCTCCTTCGGGCGACGAACCACGACAGCATATGCAGCAGTTGCAGTTGCAACTGCACGCTGTCATGCTGTTGCAGCTGCTGGCATGCCGACGGAGACGAGCAGTTCGAAACTCGTCCGCCCCTGAAGAGAGGGTCCCCGGAAATTGGGTTTTTTTGGACTTTTGGAGGATTTTTTTTAATTACATAAACTGTAATCAGCGGCACGGAAAGGCCCAGAATGACAAAAACATCGAAGGTGAAATTTTGGGTGTACGCTGCCTTCAAGGAGATACTTCTGAAGACTAAAGCTCTTGCACACTGGTAATTGGGACGGCCAAGTTCGTTGCGCCTATAATTGTTTAATATGTGCTCATTCTAGACACAACCCTCGCATAGAGATAGTTTGGGTTTCTGATCGCTTTAAAAGACAAATAGTGACTGGGCGTTGAATCATGTTTAGCTTAAGATGCATTACATTCTACGCAACGCGACTCTACGCTGTGGTACTATAATTTTTACTGTTATTTTTTCCCAGTCTAGTGAATTTGGAGAAGAGTTGAAAATAAATCATGATTTTCGGGCACTTTTTTTCAAAATACCTTCGCAAAATTGTTGGATCTTGTGATGAAGGAAATGTACTTGCTCCTAAAGTTTTTCTGGAAGTTCTGGCCTTGGCGGATGGGTTGCGGTTATGGTCTTGATTTGTTTGTAAGTGATAATTCAAATTATCACAACAATTCTTCATAGCAATAAATTCATTCTTTATTTGGGCGGAGATTAGTAGTGAAAGTTTACAGCTAAAGAACCATTCCTTATTTTTACTGCATGTACATTCATTCCCAAAATCTTCTTGTGCAGATGCAATCTCGCATCAAAACTCATTGTCGTGTAAACAGGGGAAATGGAAACATTTATCAACATTGAGAAATGACTACTTGCAACTTTTCAAACCTTGAGGTCATACTCAACCACCAAGAATTATTATAAGAGTTTAATTTACTTTTTTAGTCCCTGAGAAATATTGTCAACTAATTTCCATGAAAGCTGTCGTTGGAGCTAGAAGGTTTGGAAGCCATGCCGCCTTTGTTTGAGCCAACCTACAATAAATACCCTCTGCGTTGATCTTGGCCAATTACTTTTCAAGTTTCTAAATTGAATTAGGGCACTACGCTGCAACGCCGCCATCACGGCAAGCACGTCGTACTTAACAATTGATTTCGCACAAATAACTAAGTTGAAGTCAAATGTGAATTACTTATCGGTTTCTCTTATGTGATGGACGATATAACAGGCAGGCAAAGCTCCCACACTTCTGAGCTTTCTAAACGGAACTCAAGTGCCAGACGAATCCTTTTGGGCAACAATCACTGGCAACACTAAAAGTGTGTGTTGTTTACTATGGCATCCGTAACACTAAAAATTATAAATAATTGAAGAATTTCCTGTACCGGGAGGCACAGATGGAAACGAATGGATCAATTTTACTGCTGGTTACAACTTAACTCACAGAAGTTATGTGGCAAGATATGAGAGTGCAGGTCCCCACGAAGCTCTGATGAATTATTATATCGCGAGATACCAAGTATGGGGAAAGAAATGGTGCAGAGGTGAGAATTGCAGAATCAGATGTAGAAATTATAACAAATTGATTACATTTTTCGCTTTTGAAGCGGTTGTAACCGCACTCATATTACAGTAGCTGCATTTGATTAGATCATTGGGAAAATTATCGCCAATGATGTAAATTCCAGGTATGATGTTTCGATACTCATGTATTTTTGGTATTGACGACTTGGCTGTTGTTCTCAGTCAACCTCATCTAATTGCGCACAAGTTTTATCTCGAATTTGAGCCTGCAGCCTATTTCTGCGTATTAAAGGTAATCCTCGTGTACATATTTCCTTTCAACTCTGAAATTCGCATGATGACTATAACTTAGTCATTATTCGCTTGTTCATGGAAATTTTATCAAAAAATGATGTTCCCATCTGTAGTAGAGGGGTAAACATCCTTTCATAACTAAGGGCAACACAACCCTCTTTTGCCTTCTTGCATCCGAAAAAGACATGATTTTTTGGCAGACAGTGTTTCTACTAATTTGACCCAACATTGCATCAAGCATGTCGCTTCGCTTTCGTCGGAAGTTCTCCAAATAAAGAATGTTGCGTTAATTAGAATATACATACAACAGTGATGGATCCTTTTCGGCCTAAGAATAACTATCCTAATTTTATAAAGACGCACCTTTTCTAAACTCGGTTAGCCTGAACACATCATGAAATTTCGAGGCCGCAGAACACTCAACCGTGCCTCTCCTTGCCTAAAAGAATTATGTGGAAGAGCGAAAACTTTGCAAGGCACAGTGGTGCCGTCGAACGTTTGCTTGCAAAAAAAGGAAGTGGTGCGTCTTGTACTCGTAAAAGTAGGGTATTCTTTGTCTCCTATAAATGTCATCGAATTATCTTGAACTACAAATAAGTCCATTTAGGAGCTGCGCGCAAGAGAAGCCAGACCACTCAGTCTCAATCTAAACTCTTATGCAGAATTACCTCAAGTAGAACTCAGTGCTGGTGTACCATATGAAAAACTAAAGCATCGAGTTTGGATGATAAATAAATACTGGAAAAGATAGAAAAAAGGAATCCAAACAGTGTGTATGACCTTCCTGGGTGCGTTCAGACGGGATTTCTTTGGTGTTAATAAAAACTGCCTTCCAAAGCTCAAATTTACAATTTGCTTCTTCCGCATAAGGAAGCTGTTTTAACAGTTGCAAAGATTTTTCGACCAATGCATAAGTCCATAAGACTAAGAGAATACGCATAATACTTATATAACACTCAGAAATGGTTTTATGTAAATTTTATGAAGATCGCTGTCCATGAACGAAATTATTAATAGGTTTATGAATGGTTCTTCTGAGAGTATTTAATAGACTCGTTTTATGCAACCTTGCATCGCCAATCTCATACTAGCTTTGCCTCCGTTATACTCAACCATTTCTGTTCTTATGCTATAATTTCGTCTATCCCAAGTTCTTTCAGCTTTCTTTTAATGTCTTAAATCCTTCTTCTTCTCATTCCTTTCCTGGGACATTTAGTGTGGTAAACCTGGTGTGACTTTCTCTTTCGCGCGTATGTCCTGCCATAGGAGTAGCCTCTCTCATCTTTTTCATGGAGAGTCTGAACTCTATATGTATCGTTTGAGATCTAGTTTAGCCTGTGAAGGCTAACGTTGGCAGCATTCTTACTTCTGTTACACCGAACTTTTACTCTGTTGCGCGGTCTGATTATAATGCGATACATTCGGGACTTAAAATTTCATAACACTCGCTTCAGCATATCCCGTGAGACCTTTCATCTTGACCAGCTATGCGTTTATCCTATCCCTACGTTGTCCTAGAGGCTACCATCTGCGCAAAACAATTTCTCAAGTATATGAAAGAGGTGGTCTTCTTGTTCAGCGTGCTTCCAAAGCCTTAAAAACGTGTTCTGAAATAGGTGTTAATTCATGAAGAGTAGGAGCTTAAAACCATTAGAAACTATGGGATGTAGCTTGTCGGACCATTTATGCCTTTCACTGTGAGATAGGGCTAGTGGAAAAAGCTTTGTTCTAGTATCTTTGAGATGTTGTCGTGACCTACTCTCGTAACGGTTAACAGTGTTTCTACATGTTCTGAGAAAATAATGTGTTTATAAAAAAAGCGGGGGAGGAAGGAACAAGCGACAAAGCGTGAGACGCGAAAGCTGGCCTACGCTGGACAGATGAGAAACCCAGTAAGTTGTCCCATAGAACACAAGCTGAAGTTAAGGCAATTTCTAAAATAAGCTTGATGTTTTGAGAATTTGCATAAGAGTAATGTAATGCATGCCTTATTTTTTTGATAAACAATTATTTTCGCGAGTCGTACACAAAACAAAAGAGGCTGTACTGGAAGCATGCGGCCATGGCGCGTCAGCCGATCTGCTTAGGCTGAATTCAAATGGATAGAAAATGGCTGCCCACCTACGTGACGAAAACTGGCAAGGTAAAAAGGCATAAAGATACCGTACAAGGTGCCGTCGGCCCATTGAAGTCGGTAGTCTTCCAGACCTCGCAGCTGCCTAAAAGGAAGAAGATACGAAATAAAGCGCTATACAAGACATCGATTTGGAAAGGGGTGATCTTCATAGAGACTTGATGAAGCTGCTTTGGTAGAGTTGTACCAAAAAGGTGCCGCATTTTATCACTTATCAGCTACCAGTCATCACTCATCATTACTGGTTTGTCTATTGTTTCCGGGAAAGGTATGAAATTGCTAGTATACATGATTTACTACAGAGAATAGGAACAAAAATAGTTATCTAGCAAACGAGTAAACAGAAAAAAAAAACAAAGGAAGAAAGGAAAAATGAAAGAGGAATCATAGCATTATTACCCACGCTTTGAGTATCAATCCAGGCTGTTACGGATGTGATTTACGCTGCAGTTGAGAATTTGTCAATTGTTCTATTTACTATTTCGATTTGTTTGTTCTACGAATTTTTAACTTTACTTTTCCTAATTCAAAATAACGTTGCGAAGAGGAAATTCTTCTCCTTGGAGTCCCTCGATCCATGATTTGTCTGAAAAATTGGCTAAATACTATTGTTTGTTCGTAACCTGATAATGCTATAACAAACTTTCATCGCATAATTACCGCGACCTCAAGGAAAGTTTTGAGCGAATACTAGAGTGCCTCTCTGAGTGGCTAGATAAGAACAAGGTTTTTCCATCCGTTCACAATGGCTTTGTCCCTGGTGGTTCCACAACATCCCTGCTAGCAGGTACACTATTTGATTGAATCAGCTCATTAAACCATAACAAATCAGTTGATATCATATTTTCGATTTGTCTAAGGCGTTAGACACGTTCGACTATGCTGCATTCGGAACTGGAAAATACGGAATTTAAGACAATTACATGCATGGCTCTCCCCTGATCTGCATGATAGAGGCATAACTGTACGAGTGGGAATTTTCTCAAAAAGATTTCTCTGCGAAGTGGAGTTCCTCAGGCACACTCTCGCCAATCCTCTCCCTTACTCAAACCGCTGATCTGCCATCGTTTTTAAAAACCCATTGGGCATTAAAATCCAAATGTTTGCAGATGTTATAAGGATCTGTTTTTGCTACGATGACAGAGAAAAGGAAGAAGCTTATCAGGCAGTTTTTTCTTCAATAGAAAGGATGATGCTCTAGTCCAAAACTTGGAGTCTCGCTGTCAATCCCGCCAAATCAAGGTCCTCCACTTAGGCAACATTCCACGTTACTCTTGTATCTACGAGGGGATCAGTTTGGAGAATTGCAGCAGCATCAGAGATCTAGGCGTCATCGTTGATGATCAACTCAATTTTTCCCTTCATTACTACTCGGTCACTAAGAAAGCCCTCTCTGTTCCTTTACTCATATTGAGAAGTACGTACGGTAATGATCCGAATCTTGTGATCAAGCTTTATAAAACTTATGTATAACCACAGTTGGAACATGCACCTTCAGCTTGGAGCTCATTTTTGAAAAGCACATTGAAGCTCATTTTTGAAAAGCACATTGAAACACTAGAAAAAGTGCAAAAAACGTTCACCAGAATTGTCTACTATCGCTGCTATTTATCACCCAACTACCCTCAGTCTCTGCTCCATTATAAGACTACTAACCGTATTAAAAATGCATAGTTCAAATATCTAGGCGGACATGCAATAACTTAGTCTTTTACTTTCGCATCCTCCGCCTTGATACAAGTTGAGGCCTAGTCGCTATTAGATTTTTAGTCCCTGTGGGAATCGTGTGCGTAGTTCCAGTTTGTGCTATCGAAAGTTGGGAAGCAAAGTCTTTATACACCTTTCAACCACTTGTATGTACTAGCGCAAGATGGTTCAGCCTATTACTAAGAGATCTGACTTTTTGCAAAGACTCTCATCAATTCCGAAAGCAACTTGCTTTTAGATGTTTTGCTGACTCTGAGGATTGCAGATGTTTGATTTTAAGGAAAATTTGTAGTCACTTTTTTGTCAGCTGAATTAATGTTGCAACAGTGATGTCAAAATCCTGTGTCGTTTGCTTGTTTTGATAGGTCATATAGACAGGTTGGCAGTCTCTTCGTCTGAAACGCCGTTTGAGGAAGTCGTAGTTGGCGAACCCCTTTTCCCTGAGGTTCCCCCTTCTCGCTCGCTCAGGGTCCCTGGCGGATTCGTCCGCTCAGGTTAAGTGGTCAGCTAGCCCTGGTACTTTCAACCTCTCTCGCGTCCGGATAAGGGAAAGGGAAATCGGAGAGGACTACTCGTCATCAAAAGGAGAACGACCTGCACTCCGGAGGGAGAATACCACCTGTCTCTCATCTACTTACTCAAAATGCATATTGTTCAGTTTGCGTAATTGTCTTATCCTTGGTTTTGACACACCTTTGGTGTATTTTAAATAAATAAATAAATAAACAAATAGAAACAGCTTTTTTTCAGTATCTGGTCAGTTGCAGATATTGTCATGAACCCCTCGACTCTTATTATTAGCGAGTTAACCACAACAATAGTTACACATTTCTTATATGTTTTGAGAAACTGAAGGGCTCGAAAGGGGAACCGAAGAAAAAGGGCAGCGCTTGAGAAAAACTGTCCTACGTCCTTGACAGGTGGGGAGCCTGGTAAGTTATCACCTAAGCTACAAAATAAAGGCAAGGTAATTTTAGGATGAGTTAAGGTTGTGTAGAGGAGGTATGTAGCAGGCGATGTTTGGTATGACCAACACTGACAATGAGTCACTATTCGTGTATAAAAAATGTGCTGGAACGTACGAACCGACATATTCGTTCTTTACTTTGAAGAAATTATGTGTTGAGGATGGGCAATGCTTCATGTTTAACGGCTTGGAAAAACGACACCAGATAAGCGGTCAAACTGGAATTGAATTTTGGGCATAGCAGGGGGCTATCATGGGATACCTTTATATCGCAGCAAACTTCTCACTTCGAGCTAGTGGAACGATAAATCGAAATATGATCGAAAAGTTTCCGTAGTAGTAGTAACCCCTTTCCTTGAGGGGGCATTAGTCGACCATTAAAAAATCCTAGATACCCGTAGGTTACTGAGGTCAAATTTTGCCTAGAGGGTTAGAGCCAAATAAGATTTTGCAGATATGTTCGGTTATTATGTGTAGCTTACAGAATGTTCACACCTAAATTCAAAAAAAAAATAATGTGCAATTAATTCTTTTTTCGAGGTAAAATACGCTTCTATAGGTCGTGTAAACTGCACTACAAAGCGAATTCAAGGTTTGGAAGTTTTCATTTGAAATGATTGTTTGAAAACTAAGCGCGACTAGTCTTAGGGGATCTCGATTTGAGGTAAATTTACCTGTTTTAAACTAAAAAATTTCCCATGCAAGATCTCTGAGGGTCATCTTGATATGAAAATTTGTGGATCACTAAAAGAAGGGATGCTAAAGTACCTTGGCTAAAGAACTTCGTGCACCTACAATAATCCAGTACATCCTTGCAAGAACGTCGAGGAGGCACTTACCATTAGATACAGTGGCATACCGAGGGGAGAGGACGACCCCTTTCCCCCAAGAATGGGGTCGCGAAATTTTTGAAAGTGCTTACATGAGTTGTAAAAATGTGCAT